CAAAACACCCAATTGGTATTCTGTGTCTTCCGTGCAAGCAAAAACATTTATATTTTGTTAGAATAAAATACATGACAGTGGGATTTATGTGATGACTGCGTGTAAATAAGCATGCCCAGAAAACAGTTAAAGGGGAGAAAAATACCGATATGAAATCTAATGGGTAAATTAGGAAATTGTAGTTACAGGAATTCAGTTGCTACTCAGTGTTTATAGGGAAGCACAAAGAGAACATCAAAATGCCTGCTCACATCCCATCTGTTACTACCTCTTGCTGGATAACATCTTGGATGGCAAAAAAGCTATTTAAATTTACTACATTGCAGCAGCTGATAAATATCTCATCTGTGAAGATCTATTACTAAATAAGGACTAGATCTGAGGATAAACCTTACAAGTAGTTGTGTCAAAAAGATCCAAATTTTGCTTAGTATAACACCTGTACTCCTACAAGCCTACAGCTTCTAACTCTCTGTCCCTGTCTATGTTTTTAATAGAGCGTACAAGTGTACAACAATCCTCAAAAGCTGGATCATGTCAACAATAAAAGAAATAAAGCTTGAATGGAAAGAATAACATAAAAAAAGAAAATAGAAAAGGTACTGCAAGGATGTGATGGAGAAAAGCAAGGCTACTATTCAACTATTTTGGAGGTGCTTACTCGGACCACTTTCCACATAGATTTGACAGGCACAGAATGCTGCCATGAAAACTGCCTCCAGCAATGGAATACATTTTCCAGCACATCACAGCAGCTGCAACGGCATCAATTTTGCTTGCAGTCCATGTCCAAACAGAAAAGTTCTCAGTGGTCCTATTTCAGCATATCTCAAGGACTAATTAAATCCTCATTACTATCTTCTAATTATTCCAGTGCTCTGGGATTTCACTGAGCAAGTCCCCAATGGTGCATTAGATGAAAAGGGTTAAATAACCTGTGTTGATTTTGAGACTCCAGATCTATTTCAGACCTTTAGCATATCATCAGCATTATCATGAATATTTAACTACGTACCGCTGTGAAAATTGTAAGGGGAAAACAATTAAAGATTTTTAAAAAATTAATTCTGACCCATATACATTTGCACTAATAAATAAGGCTTCTTTAAGTATGCCCATTATGAGAGTGCTTGCTAGAGTAATAACCTAAAGTCATTAACCGTTTCCATTAAATTCAATGGTTTTCAGGAGCTCCCAGTTCACTATTTTAATATAAGACTGAATCCTGACATGTACATATCCAACTGCATAAGCATGAAAAACACTACTTAAAAGTAGGTTAGTTTTTCAAGGGTTTTTTTAAAAAACTGGTATAGAACCATTCATCTCCGTGGGGGTAAAAACGCCTATTTCAACATTATTGTGACAAACATTCTCCTCTTAGTATTTGCATAGGTGAGTATTCAGGTATGCAGACAGACACCTCTGTTAGGTTCCAAAAGTAAGAGTGGGAGTATAAGCTAATGGCCAGGATGGAAGGATTCTTTTTCATGCTGCAGCTTCAGGAAACTGATTTAGGGGGTCAATCTGGATATACTGGGTTTCTGTTTGATCCATACAAATAGCTTCTAACCCACTGAGCAGTTCTGTCTACTAAGCACATCCTCAAAGTGCGGCTTCAAAACCCAAACAGATGAGGAAAGTATATACAGCTGAATATAGTCAAATGACTCTACCTCAGTTATTTGCCAAATGGTTATAACAGCTGTGGCATCACCACTGCCCGACCTCTGGGGGCTGATGTAACTGAAATTTATAAAAAGCTTTGACTTCAATAACACAAAAAAATGAACCCCCTACTTTTGATCATAGTAAAGAAAAGTCTGGAGTAGCTGTATCAAAAACAAACTGCAAAACATGCACCCCTTTTCCCCCCCAAAGCATAGCAAGTTTCAATGACTAGTTTCATTGGCCGTGATCATTTTCATGTGGTATTCCCAAGTAACTGTAATTGCTGAGATTAAAAACACAAGTAGGTGAGCAGCCATGGCCGCTCCTGCTTCTCTAGAGACTTCTGACCCCAGTACTGCACAGCCTGCTCACCTGTCTCCTTAGCTCTCTGGCGCCAACAGTCCATTAAGGTGTATGGGATTTACTTCAAATAACAGACTCTCAGAAGCTGAGACATAGGTTATGCACATAAAAGTACATGCAATTTCTCATTTCCAAGGTAACAGTGTGTGTTGGTAGAACTAAAGAAGTTTCACTGATTGGGCTTCAAACAACAGTGGCCAGTCACCAATTCTGGGATGAGAACAGACGTGGGCTGCCTAGAATAGCATGCTCCACCTATGCTGACTCAGGTCCAAATGTCCTACAGCTTGAGCAGGACATGAAACATTTTCAGATTATTTTTGAAAAGTAAGCATTTTTACACTCATTACACAAAGCATAAAATAAGCTGTATAAAAAGCAAGCTGGAATGCACAAAAAATCCAGTCCCCCAAGAAATTCCCATTACTGTATATATGCACATATCCTACCACTCCCCTCCTTCCACACACAGAATGTACATGTGAAAATAGGCTTTTTGCTTCATGCTGCACTGTGTGACAGGGGACGTATAGTCTTAGGCAGGCAAACATGAAAATCCCAGCTGGGTGCTGAGTAACCATAGAAAATAGGGTAAAATATAATCAAACACTCTCATAATAAAATAAATAAATGTAAACTTAATGGTTCAAGGTAGTGGTTTAGCATCCAGAAGCGCTACAGCTCACACTCCACCTGTCAAGCTTCACAATATCTGGTAAATAACATTTGTTTCAACATTGAGAGCAGAGGATTCTGCTTTAGAAATGATCAGTAACCTTTTGTTCACTCAATTATCTCTCCAAACAAGGAAAGAACTGTTATACGAAGTGTTAAACCAAACAACACTACCTTATCCTAGGAAGGTTCTCTGGGGTTTTTTGTTTTACTTTTATTTTTCTTTTTCCTTCTTTCTTTTCTTTTTGGGGAGACAGTGTATCAGTAAGTCAAGAGTTTAAATTACTCTAACAGATGCCTATGGATCAGGTGTCCTTAGCAGCAACACTTTCTACTCAGGTTTTTATCAGTAAGTGACAAGCACCTTCCCTTTGAGTCCCCATCATTCCCCCTCCTTCCTTTCTTCAAGTTCAGTGGAAAGCAGTTCAAGCAAGCAAAGGAATCAACTAATGTAGCAGCCTTTTTAAAAGGTGAAGTTTTCCATTTCAAAGGAGTCTCTAATCAATGACAGGGCACAAAAGGGAATGCACGCATGTTTATGCGAGTATAGCACAGACTTTAGAGAAGCTTTGGGGAACATGTTCTGCAAAATCAATATGACCTAGCTAGTTACAAATTTTGTATCTGCTGCATGAAACAAAAGGACTTCTAGTACAAGCTGGGTCACATGGATCATGCATATTACACTGGATTTTGCATATGAAGAGTGCAAAAATCAAACATTCCCAAACATGTTTTCTGTAAGAACATACCCCCAACTCTCACACATACCCACCTGCACAGAGGAAGAACCACGCTAAATCAAACTGTGAATTTTACTTCCCAGTTACGGCAGCTGTCTTACTCTGTTTTACTTTTTTGAATACCCCTCCGCTTCTCTTGACCACACAATGACCCCCAGTTTTGTTCTACAGCAACAACGGACAGGTTCGACACTTTCAGCTCTGTCACACCTCCCTAACTTGTCCCCCAAAGCCAGGTGAGGAACACACACTGCAGAAATAATTATTACTGGGCACTGTATTTTTGTGCCAAGAAGCCCCAGTTGTGCCAAGAAAGGCACACATCTTTCTGAGACGCTTGCGTGTTCAAAGCCTCAAATCTGATCCATTCCCACTGTCTTGTGACAGTCTATCCCACAAAGCATCATATATGTGTATCAAATACTGAGGCAATTTTGGTTTCACCAAACGTATATTACTCTAAAAAAGGACATGGAACAAACAAGTTGAGTGTGGAATTTTGTGTTTCATGTTCTCATTAATCAGCATTCCTGGAGGAGGGGACATCCAACACAGAAACCCAGCAAAAATTAAGACTCTTTTCTTTGTGAGTCCTCTTAGTTCCTCCTGGATGCTATCCCAGAAATTTGTCATTCTGTGAGTTCAACTTGTTTCACTGTGAGAAAACTTCTAGTATTTATGGTATCCCCATATGGTGCTACTTGGAGTATTTCTGGTAGCAAGACATTTTAGGAGGGGCATTTCATAAATAACTCCATGTTTATCGCAGTTATCATGTGTCTGTTTTGCAAGCTTGTCACTGGCACATGTTAACCACTGCATGGACAGAATGCCCAGTTTACAGCAGTTGATCATATATATGGTCACACAACAAAGCTATGACAACTATCTTCCCAAAGCTAGGGAGGAAGGAGGCAAAAGGAGAAGGGCTTACAGTTTATAAATAGTAACTTTAAGAAAAAAAAAAAGCAGCTCTGTTTATTTCTGTAAGCGCTTGCTAGGAAGCACCCTTTTTAGAACACTGCTGTTGCCTGCAAGGTTTTCCCTTGCAAGATTTCCAAATCTTTGAACCATTTGACCTAAATAGTTGATTTCCCTTTATATTTAAAGATATTTTTATCCTAGAACTGGCTAAAGGACTAGCTATCGTGTCCATGCAAAGATCCTAGAGATGAGAATTTTGAGAACAGTAACAAAACTGCAGTGCTCACAGCTAACATTGTTTCTATACATTTTAATTCTAAGATAGACGACCAAATGTTGAATTCTGTAAGACATGACACAAGTATTTACAGCAAACTGCCTTTATACTCTGGGCATTCACTGTATTTTCAGAAAGCCTTGTTTCCAATTACATTTTGGTAAAACCTGCTATTCAATTGCTCTTTCCCCAGAGAAGGAAAGCCCCTGAGCCTTTTACAATGAGGACTGCCATTACTTTCCCTGAGAAAATAAAAGAAATACCAGGAAATCTCACATCGCTTATGTGTGACTTAAAACAAAGGCTGCATTTGGCACCAACTAAAAAAGCCCCAACACCTAACAAACCTCGGTCCTGTGGCATTGGTGACTGGCTCAAGGCAGGGTGGGAGCTGGATTCTGACTGGCTGCCAGGAGGCTGTGGTGGCATCTGACTGCCTGCAACACACAGAGAAAAAAGGGAAAACAGACTTGATTCAACATTGCAATGCACGAAACCAAGCCTTGCTGCATTTTTCAACCACTCAACATCAAAGAAAGTACCAGCTATATAAGGTAGAGACAGAGCTCAACAGGTCTAGCTTTTTTCCTTGCTTTTTTCCTTCTTTTCTTTTTTTTAACCCATGGAGGAAACATGCATAAACGTATTTAGCAACAGGCATGGCGAAATGTTCAATTTCGTATTGAGCGAGTTCCCAACCTCACCGACATGATCCAATTTATAGCTGCAAATCTCCTGACACATATTTCTGTTAGAGAGTTTAACAAAATCCAAGTCTGCTGAACAATAGGGCTCATCCTGCTGAGCTTAAACTGGCCTCCAGCCAGGCAGACATGGACTGCTGCCAACAATATTACCAATGAAAAATTCAGTCAATACAAAAATGACTAACAACAACAGTTTAAAAAGTATTTCAATGAATCAGTGGTTTGAATATTATTTGATTGTCCATGTAGAATATGGGAATAAAGAATAATACATAGGTGCATGTGGTGAAAGTGAAACATGTTTGAAAGAGATCAGACAGAAAAGGGGTATCTTATTACAAATAAAAGCAAAGGGAATATATTTGCTTATTAAAATACCCATCCAGAACAGACAGAGCCATTTTTATGGCCTGGTTCAAAAGACACCCACATAGTTTATCCACTGCGTTCTACCCACCTAAAGAAGAAGAGCACTCAGTCTGCCTGTGAGGCTTAGGACATCAAATGTTCCCTTTAGTATTACTGGATAGCAAAGCAGATGCTTGTTACATTGACGCAAGTCACATAATGCCAGGGTCACCATTCAGCACTGTGTCAAGCAGGGAGGTCCACGCTACCACCCTCCCACTGCACAACACCCCAACGGCCTCAAGCCTGACAGCCAACCTGCCACAGCATGAGCAGGGGTAAGAATGAGACCCGGATGTCTCCTGGCGCTTCTCTCTGCTGCTGGTCTGAGACACGCCTGCTCCTGACAGCCCAAGCAGCTGGAAGACCACCTCAGGTTAGGCGGTGAATGTATACTTTAAGCATTTAGACACTGTAGTGACGAGCACGTTATAAATAGCAGCAGACAGATTTATATCCCTCGTCCTCAGAAACTGCTCAGATTGTTTTCCGTTTGGAAGAGATGGAAAGAATAAAAACACAGGCAATAGATTTGTGCCTGCTGAGACTCATTTCCTCCTGCTCAGCAGCTGCCCCTCCGTAGTGGCAAGAGCAAGAATCCTGTGGCCAGTCCTGGTGCTGGGAGCCGGCTGATGAGGGAGCTGCTCTTTCTTAGAGTGATGAAGGGCCCCAAGTTGGACATAAAGGCAAGAAAGCAAATGTGTCTGCTCTGCCCCATCCACTTCCCAGCCTCAAAGCAACTGGCTCTCAGCACAGCCTCTAGGTTGATAAAAGAACAAAATGAAAATCCATAAAATGTGGAGTGTAACCACTGCCTAGCTATTCAGATGAGGTGCATTTGCACTAAAAAACATGACAGTCAACATTACTGGGAGCAGCTGTGACAACTGTCTCAGAGATGCAAATGCTGGACTAGAGGCAGAATTGCTCCTCCAAAAGACCAAACATGCCACTCAGTGCCTGAGGCTTTGGGATCCACGGCCCATTCACGAACTCTAAGGCATATGACAATAATATTCCAGCTTATGTTTTGATGTCACGCAAGAGCGGGCGGTGAAGACGTTAAGTGCCTGCATTATAATGAATGCTTTCTGCTTGACAGGAAGGATTCAGTGACTCAAGACTGTAAACAAACAGCAATTCCATGTTAACACAGGGCACTGCCACTTCCATTGTGTATGCCTGAGGCACCGCTATCAGACAGAATACTTCAAGTACATCTGAACCACGGACGATTTTTACAAATACTTAAAAAAGTAATATAAAGGCAGGGGTAGTCCTGACTGCACCACACAGCTCCCAGTGGGATCTCCCTTTAGATGGAGGCTTGGCAAACTTTGAGGGAGATTAATAGTGCATGGAAGATCTATGCTAGGCAACGTATTTTGAATACATTTATACACGGTATTTAATTTTTTACACTGATAATAACTTCAGTTAACTGACAGGAGCCTTATCCTGTACAGGCAGATGTGCAAGCACGGACTGGTAAAGTCAAAGCCTAGGACAGTGCAGGTACGACCTGTTACAAAGAAATCATTTACTTCTGCATCCTTATGGAATACAGACTCAGGAGTTTTGCAAATTCACTGCCATATTCAGCCTCTGCAAACATTAACACTATTTCATCAGTTCACTTCTTAAAGTTTACTTCTGGTTTGTTTTGCTTTGTTTTTTTTCCCTGTATTAAAATTTAAAGCCAAATTTTTGCTTCACAAAGGAAAATAATTTGGTCAACCAGATCAACTCTACACATCTTCAAACGAGTAACAAAACTGCAAAAGTACCATTATTGTTTATCAGTGGGTGCTGCAAATTATCCAAGTGCTGGAAATGGAAGTACTGCACCAAAATGTTTTCAGGTGAACTGCTATTTTATCCTTAGAAGTGATCTGAAAGGTAAGAGGAGGTTAAGCACCCAAATACCTTTGAAGACTTGAACTGAACTCTTAATTTGGGTATCTAACTCCTATTGATTGGGAGCTGATGACAGAACCTTAGAAACCTTTGAAGATCCTGTCTGCCATGCTTTTTAAGTTTCTTTGTCATGAAAAGAAATGACCTTAAAGATTTTCCACTTCTTTCCTTTAAATGTTATTAATCCTTCTCTCTTTCAACTAGTATTGTAGCCGGGATTCTTGGAAGACACTTTAAATAATACCTGATCAGACTTTTGTATTTTATTAGGGAAGGAAAACTTCTACTGAAGTAAAACAATTTCTTTTCTTTTTAAACATGAATTCTACAGCTATTTAAGACAGAAAAAAAAAACAACTTTTTTTTTTTTTTTTTCTCTGACAGACTAATGCCTCCCAATGATACACAGATGGAGGTTTAAACAGGAATGACCTTTTCACATGTTTTGTATAGCACTGTTGCCACATTAGTGAGACGTTCCACCTGCTGGAACTTCTGTGAAGTGAATACTATGTATGTTTCACAATATTTTTATTACGCAAAATCTTAGCAAATATAATAATGCATGTTAGAAGGATAGATGCTGCCACACTAATTCTTTCACCTAGGTTTTAACAGAGGAGCAAAATGGTATTCAAATTTATATAGCTATCTTGCAAAATTAGTTGTTAAAACTATCAAAACCAGCAGCTTAATACCATGTCTGCTAATAAAAAAAAATGTCAGTTGAAGAGGTGGGAGAATTTAAAAATGCTTAATAGCACAATTGTAAGCTGGCTTTCTATTTTTAAAATTACGTTAGAAATGCTTTTAAACATTTTGCATGAGACTGAAAATCTATGCTTGAAATAAATAGAGTCAGGGGAGACTGCACTGCACCTTTGGAAAAGATGAATTGAGAAAAGTACTAAATGGCAATTGCATTATGACTACAGCCATGAAATCTGCAGTTAAAGTGTAAAAAGTAAATTCCTTAGAGCCACCATAGCAAGAAAGAACGGAGCTTTGATATCCTCCTGAGGAGGGGTCCTTATTATGAATTACAGCCCAAATGAGTAATGTTTTGAAACATATCGAGGGCTCTCTGCTCCCATCACTGTGATGACAGTGGAGGATGCTCAGCAGTGGTACCCTGTACCTGTTGGCCAATAGCTCACAGAATTGTGCCTAAACAACTGAATCAAGAAAGCACTCCAGTGGTAACAGGTTCTCCCAGGGAAATCACTAGTTAAGGAGGGGTATAAGGACAGGAATTTTAAGATGAAGAACCGGGAAACAGAAGAGAGAGTGACTTATCACAGCCTGTGTTAAAAGGGGACCATTAGGGTAGAGGAAAGGCCAGGGTTTGTCTCTGGGACAATTCTCAGTCTAATTTAGGAATTAAAGACTAGAACTGGACTAATTACATTGGTTGATTACAAAGTAGGGAATCTTAGTCAATACAGAAGATGATCAAAATACTATCTAAGAAACTGGACCACCTTTTGGATTGGAGTAACAAAAACGCAAACATTACACACCCAGACCAGAAATAAGCCTTTTCTAACTGAAAAGCTGTAGGATTATCAGTTAGAAATGGGAGAATAAAAGGAAGGAAAATCTGACCATATTGGCTGACCTGCAAATGGTTATAACCTACAAATGGTTAAACATTTGATGTCACCGCAATCAAACAAATTTATTATTAGGATGAACTAGGAGAATTGTTTCCAGTAGACATAAGGCAACATAATACCACTGCTGATGTGTCACTGGCGAGCCTTCACGCACACAAACCCAGAAAGTTTAATGCTAACAGGAATGGGAATCAAGAATAGCTACCATCGTGATGTGACTGAATGCTGAGACAATGTTATTTAGCATGGGAAAAACTAAAGCCATGATTTTGTGACTTCTCTTCAAAAATGTGTCTGTGGCTAAATATCCGGGAGGAAAAAGAGCACGATGTTTAGGATGATAATCAAACCATTACTGGAATTTTAAACAACTTCCTTTTAGGAATAATGAGGTCCAGGAAACCTAGTGATTAAGATGAAATCTGATAAAAAACAGTCTTATGTGACAGTAAAGGCTCACAGACTAGAAGGGACATTCTGGGTCTCGGATCCCTACACCAGAAATTAAAGATCATAAAGAGGCTTCTATATGTGATTGTTTTAAATGAGCTTTTCAGGAAATTGGAAGTGAGGTGCAAATTACCTCAAAGGAAAGAAATTTTTCTATGGGTAGTGTAAAGGGAAACTGGTCATGTGGTTTGTGTTATCTCTTTCATCTTACAAAGCCTATGACCTTTCAAGATTATTTTCTTCCTTAATTTATGCATTGTAGCCAAGCTTCCTGTTGTATCAACAGGATTTTAAAATGACTTACTCTTTGAGTAAAAAACAAGGGTTCCCTCATATGCT